AAAAAATTTTTTTAAGTATTTTTTTATTTTGTAATTTACTAACATCAACATAAAAAAACTTAAATAATCATAAATGCGCATATATGCAAACAGAAGAGTTAATTTTTATTTTTAAAAAATTGATTTTCTAAAATATCTGACAGAGATGATTCTTGTTTTGCTATAAAAACAAATATTATTCTTTGTGTCGATTAAAAAATGATATCACACACGTTTTAAGTGAATCCTTCTTTTCATTGGATAGTCTTCTTCTTGTACGTGTGTATTTAGTTCGAGTGGAAGAATCCATTTGAACTTACTGAACTGAAACTCATATGTATAAAAATGACTGGATGAATTTCTTTCTTGGAATGAATCGACAAATCGGCATGTACATGCGTCACAAAGAACGTTAGTGCATAGATGCACTTTTTCACATAGAATTCTAACCGGACCCTTGAAGACGAGACAGATGGGTTCTTTACACTCTTTCTTTCTTTCTCTGTCTCTCTTTCCTACTGGTGATGTGGGTCAGCGTTCCGTATTACAACTTTCTCCTTCCTTGAATTTCGTTGCCCATTGTAAGAATGCCACACACGTGTATATATATATAAATTCTTCTCAATCCCCCAAATTCAGTCTCCAAACAAGATTTCAAATCCGTTTCTTGCAATACTTATAAAGTTCTTTCAAAATCTTTCAGCACGACGACGACGGCGAAAAAAAAATTACAAAGAACGACAAAATACGTCTTTATACGAAAAAAAATAATAATAAGGGCTAAAATTTCTCCACAAGAAGAAAAAGGAATTGTCTGCTGATGCTAACTGATGTTTGCTGACAAATCTATCAAAATTAGTGTAACCACAGCAAATTTGTTAAAGGCGCATGAATTATTCTAATTAATTTGATAGAATTTTTATATAGAATTTCATTAAAACCAATTTTCGATGTTACAGAATTTTTACATAACCGGAAAATTCACTTCATAAAATTTATATATATTTCTTCCAATTTTCATTTGTCAGAATTTTTTATTTGTTTTTAACAGAATTTAACTTTTTAACAGAATAATCGTTTTTTTTTTAAATTACAGAATTTTCACTTGACCGAAAATTCATTTAAAAAAATTTCTAATATAATCCAATTTTTATTTATTAGAATTAGCTTCCGTTAGAAACTTTTCGGCGCGAATTTTAAAATTAACCAATCAAAAATAATCTTAAAAAAGTTTGATTCGTTAATTTAAAAATTTGCGCTAAAATTTTTCTTTACAATGTTTAGGTATTCAAATAAATTAATAGTTAACTGTCAAATACAAATTAAATCAAATAAAATATAAAATCCGTTACTTATTATTGTGATTTTTTGTTTCAGTAAAAATTTTATAACATGAAAAATCGGTTAAATGAAAATTTTTATCAAATAATAATTTAAAATAAATGTAGCAACAGAAAATATCCGAAATATGCGATTTTTTCTTTAGTAAAATTATTTGAAAATAATTTTTAAGAAAACAAAAAAATAAAATTGAAATCCAGGATTAAAAATCAATTTCGAGGATTCGTTTTACAAGAAATTATCCATATTGGCACTGTGTACGAATCCGAAAGAAAAAAAAAAATAAAATAAAAAATGCAATCGAAACGAACCAAACTTGGAAATTAATTGAATTTCAGCTAGAAATGAGAACCTACGTTTAACTGGATTGGTATAATCGATTTTCGTAACACGGACCAGGATGCGAGAAGCAGGCTTTACCAGGGATTATTGCGATTATCCGAATAATTACCCGGGATCGGTTTCAAATCCACATCAGCAAATAGCGCGCTAGAACTCTCACTATATCTCTTTCTCTCTCTTTCTCTAAATGTATATAGTGGAAAATTCAAAACTTTTAAGCTTCACAAATACATCTTTCACGGATTTTTCCAATATATGTTATAAAAATTTTTTTATTTCAATTATATATGTATACAAATAGAATTTGAAAATTTTCATCAGATTCTGTCCAATAGGGACAAAACTTAGTTTTATCTTTTTATTTTTTATTCATTTGTTTTAAATATCTAGGAATTGCATTTTGCGTAAAATTTTAATTGTCATAACATAAATTGTCATTAAATAAATTGTCGTAACATAAATTGTCATAACTTAAATTGTCGTAACGTTAATATATTGTCGTGGTCAGTTATTTCATATACGCAAGTTTCAATTTACTTAATATCAATAAATAAGAAATTGATCGACTAAAAATTCGATTTATTTTATCAATTTCTTATTTTTGACTTCAAGTAAATTGAAACTTATACGCCACACAAAATTAATTTTATCATTTTTTGGGTTTCGTGGCTCAGGGCCGTTATATTTTCGCTTTGGCATCCGTCCGTCCGTCCGTCGTACACTCGTATGATTTCCATGACAATCCTTACCATGACAACTGTTTCCATAGCAACCATTTCCATGGCAACCGTTACTGTGGCAACCGTTTCCATAGCAACCGTCACTGTGGCAACCATTACTATATGGCAACCGTTACTATGGCAACCGCTTCCATAGCAACCATTACCATAGCAACCGTTACCATGGGAACCGTTTCCATGACAACCATTACCATAGCAACCATAGCAATTTACAAATAATGAAATTATAAATTATTTATTATATACAAAGAACATTTGATCTGAATTTAAAAAGCCACGAAATCCTAGATGTAGGCGCTTTGCGCATGCTTCTTTTTCTGTTTTTTTTTTTATTTTCTTTTGTTTTAAATATCTAGAAATTGCATTTTGTAAAAAAAACTTTAATTGCCATAACATAAATTGTCGTAAAATAAACTGTAGTAGCACAAATTGTCATAACTTAAATTGTCGTAACTCATTAACATAAATTATCATAGCATAAATTGTCGTGTAATATAAACTGTAGTAGCATAAATTGTCATAACATCAATTGTCGTAACTTTCAGTGAATTGTTGTAGCATACATTGTCATAACGTCAGTGAATTGTCGTGGTCAAGAAATTGATAAAAAAAAATCGAATTTCCAATCGATTTAAAATTTTTAAAAAATGTTCCCCTCCAAAATGGTTTGGTTTCCAGAGAATCACTCCATAACCGTCAGTGATATAAAAACATGATATAGTCAGTAATATACTGACATTTTTTCCCCCTATTTGAAAAGAGCAAAGCGTGTGCCATATTATTTATTTTTATCCTCTCTCCCCCAATATATATATATATATATGATTATCGTTGACAAAACAATTAGCATATCAGTCCAATAACACGATAATTGACTCCAACGCTGCCTATCATGCTTTTAACTAAACAGAAAAATTATTAGCTAACAGAGCAATACATTATGTCGTATAGATATCATAATCGCCAGCAATTAGCTGTTCACGCTCGACGTTATCGCTATATGTACTCTATAGAGGGGGGCAAAACCCTCTCTTTCACTCTGTGCCAAGAGTAGAGTTCAGAGATCGCGATGACGACGGCACCAAAAAGAAAAAAAAATGAAAAAAATAATAATAATAATGGATAGAAGAAAAAAAAAGAAAATAATGGGGGGAAAGATTTATGGGTTCTTAAGGGTCGAGTGAGCTTGCATTTTGCCAGGTTTGAAACATGACGTGCCTTCTTTTCTACCCTGTTTCCTGAGAGAAAGAGAGAGAAAGAGAGGTGATTTATCGGGTTGGTACATCTTAGAGAGTTTTCAAAAGCTCGCAAAAATAAACATATATAGACAAAAAAGAAAAATAAATATTATATAATAAATAAATAAAATTATATAATAAATATTGTCATATACAACACCATCCGACAAAATTTTTGACCCACAAAAAAATTTAACATTTTCGGAAACTAGGACCCATAAAAAAGACCCGTATCTGGCCGTTTTGCTAGATCAAGTTGTTTGTGGTTTTTAGAGGTGAAAACAACCCCTAAATGAAAAGTGACAAGATATCTTTTAAAAATTATTAATATTTTATGAAACTGGGTATCTGGGGGTTTTCGGGGTCACTGATTATTAATCTGATGTCAGATTTTCAAAATTCAAAATGGCGGATCCAATATGGCGATCAAATTTTTAAAAAGTTATTAATTTTTTATTTTATATCCGCCATTTTGAATTTTGACAATTTAACATCAGATTCGTCATCAACGACCCAAAAAACCCCTAGATATCAAAGTTTAAAAAAAATTTAATAAATTTTTAAATTTTTGACCGCCATATTGAATCCGTCATTTTGAATTTTGAAAATCTGACATCAGATTAATAATCAGCGACCCCGAAAACCCCCAGATACCAAGTTTTATAAAATATTAATAATTTTTAAAAGATATCTTGTCACTTTTCATTTAGTGGTTGTTTTCACCCCTAAAAACCACAAACGACTTGATCTAGCAAAACGGCCAGATACGGGTATTTTTTTTTGGGTACAAGTTTCCAAAAATGTTGGATTTTTTTGTGGGTCAAAAAAAAAGTTGAATTTTGTCGGACGGTGTAATGCATGTTAAAATTGTCGTAGCATATCTTGTCATGACATAAATTGTCGTAACGTAAGTAAATTGTTGTGGTCAGTTATTTCGTGTACGCAAGTTTCAATTTAATTGATGTCAATAAATAAGAAAATTGATCGACTAAAAATTTTATTAATTTTATACAATTTCTTATATTTATTGACATCAAGTAAATTGAAACTTGCGTTACGCAAAATAACTGACCACGACAATTCACTGACGTTACGACAATAATTGATGTTACGACAATTCATGCTATGACAAATTTATATAATGACAATTTATGTTACGACAATTTATGCTACTACAATTTATGCTACGACAATTGATGATACGACAATTTATGTTATGACAATTGAAGTTATGTCTTGTATATATGTACATAGAAAAAGTTAAGGATAAAGGAGCATTATCAAAAATGTGGGGAGGAAAAGAAATATTTATATAGTCAACATTAGAAGAGAGAGATATGAAGGATTTACATCGACTTACCGAATGCCTTGCACAATACACCCTTTAGGGAATTTCCAGCCAATTGTATTATAGCCATGAAGATATCGCCAACCATGAGGCAAGCGACATGATGTGTCTGGCACCGCCAATGGAGAACATGGTGAGATGCTGGTAAGAGCCATCCTGCTGCCAGTGTTGCTGCCAAGAAAATGGCACTCACAATGAAACCAAGGGCATACAAGGTGAATCTAATGTCATCAACACGTTTCGTTGATCTGAAAAAAAAGATATTCAAAATATTAAAATTTATAGATTTTTTTTTTAAGCGTGCAGCCATTTTGATGCTTTCACTTATTTATTTGAGTCACAATTATTCAAATGATTTTCGATTAATTAATTTTTATTATTAAAATTGTGGCCAATCAGATTTATTTTTAAAATTATTTCAGAACCTAAAATACACGATGACAGGGCTTTCGTGACTGTCCGTCTGTCCATCCGTAATTTAGATAAAAAGTTAGGTAAGATTAAAGTAGGAATAAAGTTATTGTAAAATAAAAGTTGGTTTAATGTAGAGTCTACGTTAGGTAGAGTCCAGTAGGTTTAATGTAATGTAGGGATAAGGAAGGGTCAACGTAGAGTCAATGTAGGGTTAACGTAGGGTCAATATAGGGCTAAAGTAAGTATAATACAGTTCCAATGTAGAGTCAAAGAAGCTGTAATGCAGGCTCATTTTAAGTTCAAGGTAGTTTTAATAAAGGTCTAGGAGGTTTTATGTCAGTTCAATGAAAGGTCAATGTAGGTTAAATGTAGAGTCAATATAAGGTCTATAGGTAAATTTGGGCAGACCACTTTTCGCCGCCAACTCATCCCCGTGTACCTGCTCAGCGGCAAATTTTCGTCCCCGTATGTTCCCCCACTACCGTCCGTACTGTACCCCTCCGTTCAGTCAGACGGCAACTTTTTCGACTTTTTTTTACATTAAAAAAAAAAATTTTAATAAAATACATTTTTTTAGTATAAAATGTAGATCTTCTTCAGATCTTCTTCAATTCAATTATTTAACAAATTTTGAACTAAAATAATTCTTCATTAAATTAATTATTTTTAATAATTTTAATGAACTTCATTACAAATTCAATTATTTCAAAATTATTTTTCAAATAAAATTTTTATGAAATTTAACAATTGTTTATAATTTTAAAAAAATATCACAATAAAATTGAATTATTTTCAAAAATTCCAATTCAAAATAAACTAAAATTTAATTACACAGGCACACAAAAAGTAAAATGTGGTTTGGCCGAGACACTGCACTAGTCTATTTTCATGTATTTTTTCACGCTGAATCCAAATCCGAAGTCAGAATTATCAGATTGGCTTTTATTTTTGAGATAAACTCAAAAAACTGCTCAGAAAGAAAAATAAAATTAAAAAATTTTTGAATTTCACTGCGATAGTGTAATTCTATGTATGTTTTGTCGCTGAATCCGAATCCAAAGTCAGAATTGTTAGATTCGCTCAAATTTTTGAGATAATTGCAAAAAAACGCAAGTAACAAAAAACTCAAAATACTCAAAATCAGTATTTTGGAGTTATCTTCCAAATTTGAGCCAATTTGTCAATTTTGACTTCGAATTCGGATTCAGCGTGAAAAAATACATGAAAATAGACTAGTGTAGTATCTCGGCCAAACAGCTTCTTATTTTTTGTGTGCCTATGTTATTACCCAAATTTTCAATTAAAAATCAATTAAAATTCAATTATTTTCAAAAATTTTCAATTTAAAACAAATAAAATTCAATTGTTACCCAAAATTTCAATTCAAAATCAACTAAAATTCAAATATTTTCCAAAATTTCGAGTCAAAATTAATTATTATCAAAATTTTCAATCAACAATCAACTAAAATTAAATTATTATCAAAAATTTCAATTCAAAATCTAAGAAAATTAAATTAAAATTAAAAATTTAATAAAAAATTCATTGTGCAGGAGAAGGGGAAGGGGGAAGTGGAAAACACATGCAGTCTGACTGAACGGAGGGGTACAGTAGGCCGGTAGTGGGGGAACATACGGGGACGAAAATTTGCCGCTGAGCAGGTACACGGCCGGGATGAGTTGGCGGCGAATCGTGAATCGCCCGGTAAATTTAAATTAAGTTCTCTGCAGATTCAAATTAGGTTAATGTAGGGTGAAAGTGAGGTCGAGGTAGCTTTAATGTACAATTAATGTAGGTTGAAATAAGATCAAATGTAGAGTCAAAGTAGATTCAATTTAGGATCAATGTAAGTTCAAAGTAGGTTAATTGTAGAGTTAATATAGGTTTAGGGTTGAATCGAAGAAGAAACAATAATGAAGGTTCAAATTAGGATCAAGTAGGATAAATGTAAGGTCAATTTAATTTTAATGTTGAGTCACAGTGGATTCAACGAAGGATGAAATTAGGCTCAATGTAGAGTCAAAGTGTGTTCAAGGTATATGTCAAGTACTAAAATAGTTAATGTAGGTTCAAACTACAACAAAAGTAGGTTTTATTTTATTTCAACGTGAGGTCAATTTAGATTGAATGTTGAGTAAAGTAGGTTTAAAGTAAGATTCAGGTAATTTAAATGTAGAGTCAAAGAAGAAATTGAGAATGTCAAAGTAAAGTTTTACGTATGTTTAACGTAAGAACAATGTAGAGTGAATGCAAAGTCAAAATAAATTTAAAATAGGATTTAAGAAGGTTTAATGTAGGGTCAACAGAAGAAATTAGATTAGAATCTAAATAGGTTTGATGTAGAGTCAAAGAATGTTCCATACTAAGACGAAATAGGTTTAATGTAGAAGAGTTTATTGTAGAGTCTAGGTAGTTGTAAAGAAGAATAAAAGAGTTTTCAAAGTAGGGTTTAAATAGAGTTTAAATAGGGTTTAATAAAGACCCAAAGAAGGTTTAATCTACAGTCAAAAATATTCACAGTTGAGTAGAACTAAATTTAATATAAATTTAATGTATGCTTAAAGTAGGTTCAACGTTATGTTAAAGTAGGTTTAATATATCTTCAAATTATGATCACGATCCTGTTAAAGTCGGATCAAGGTAAGTGCACTATATTTTTATATGGCAACCACGAAACCCGCAGATGTATAGGCTCTTAGTATACATGCTTTGCGTACAGATTTTTCTTATGATATATATTTCCTTTACAAATTAGAAACAAGTACTGCATACATGTGTATAGAAAAAAAAGTTTGTAACTAACTTTATATGTAATTTTTATTTATTTATTTTTTTGCTAAAAAAAATCCTTGAGGTAATTGAAAATTTCCCGAAAGAATTCAGAAAACTAATTGTAAGAGGAGCTGTGAGAAGAATTTACAATGTGTACAGGAGGAGTTTCGTACGATTTTCAAAGATTTAAAAGTTTTAAGGTATATCCTCAAGTAGGAGGCTTCCAGTGCGGGTATTTAAGCGAAATGGAAGAAACTTCAAATGCTGTAAAAGTTCACGGAGAAACATTTGAAAAATACTCTAAAGTTGTTTATAAGTTTCAATATATATATATATATATATAGAGAACAGATTAGAAAGTTTTGTCGAATATATATAGTATACATTCTGCTAAAACGATTGAATATGTATATATAAAATGAAAATGATTTTAATAAGTCCAAAGAATTTAGAATAATATTTTTTATATCAATTAAAAATGCAAATAAATATCAAATAAAATTTAAATTTCTATAAAGAATAAATATAGTTAAATATTTTTCATTCACAAGTAATTTCAAAAAATTCCATTTTTGGATTTATACATAATGAAATTAAGGCTTTTTATTATCGACCATATCGTTGTAAACGTGGTAGCAGGTAATTTAACGAGTATAGTAAATTAAACAATCACGGTCTTCGAGTCTAATTTTTTATTCCCAAACTCCATAAATGAAATCAAAAAATTTTCTTTAAAGAGACACTTATAGAACTTTATAGATATACACATGAAAATGTACATTTTATACTGAATTCCTAATTTTTTCTCGCATAAATATTATTCACCATATATTATACATATATATATATATATATATATATATATATATATATATATATATATATATATATATATTTAAAGTGAATCTTTTAGTATCCCACTATAAAGAAACATTAAGATCAGAATGAATAATCAACTTCGTACATCAAGTTTTTATCGCTCAATTATACGCTATATCGCGTTTGTCAAGTTAAATTTCCCCCAAACTCCATATAAGATATTTTAACACTTTGAATGTAATTTCAAGAAATTTATTTACCTGATGTCTCATATCCTATATCGAGTTTCATTTCTATTTTATTTATAGTATAAAATTTACATTTATAAAAACGCACGTATAACGTATACGTAAGTCAAAAATCGGCTATATTCACGCCGCTCGTTCTAAGACGCAAACGTAGACAAAAATAGGCTAACTTCACGCCGCTAAGTCAGGGCCGTGAAAGTATAGCTAAAAAAAATCGGCTATATCTATATTCACGTATTCTTCCTCCTCTTGACCTTTGAAGACGTGATTATAGACGATTTTTAGCTACTTTCACGTACCTGACTCGGTGGCGCGAATATAGTCGATTTTTGGCTACATTTACGCCCCTAACTTAGCGGTGTGAATATAGCAGATTTTTATCTATGTTCATGTCCCTGACCCAGCGACGTAAAGATAGACGATTTTTATCTACTTTCACGTTCCTGACTCATCGGCGTGAATATAGCCGATTATTGGCTACGTACACGTCTCTGACCCAACGATGTGAATATAGACAAAAAAAAAGGTGGCACACAAGGTGTGAAAAAGCAGAAGCAAATTATTCTTGCGATATATATATATATATATATAATATAAAATCAAAAGAGACCTCATGACACATAAGGGGGTAGTGATTCGTGAGTGAAGAGGGTTTTCAGTGGCGGATTTAATTAAATTCGAGGCATGCTCTTATCCCATCTCCTCATCCTCTCTTATCATTCAGTATCGATTGGCTCCAAGCCAGAAACTGATACGCACGCATGCATTTCTAGCGTATATACGTGTGTATATGAGATGAGGCACGCAGTAATTCAATCGATCGTTTATTTTGGATCATCCGTTATTAAGCACGATCGTAAAATGACGATAAACGTATATATATGTATATATACGTATGGGACATACGGGAAACCCCCTCTTTAAATTCACACACAATACCGCACAGTAACTTTGTGCGGTTACACCATCAACTTACTTAGTGGGTTGTTGCAAAC